GAACATTGGTCAAGAGGATTTTTTTTTTTTTTATAGTTTTCATATTTGATAAAATGAATGGTTTAAATCTTAATATTTCTATAAATTTGAAGCAAATACTTTTACATATAGATATGTAATTAGTCATTTTTCCTTGTCACGATTACGGTTAGGACACAGTCAACGTATGTCATTACCCCCAACAAAATTTTTCTGATTTTTTAGTTATTTCTTATCTATTAATGATAAAAATTTAACAATTTACTAATTTTGTAATTTAGATAACAAGAACATTAGGACTTTTCATCGGTCAGGTCATGTCGATATTGGTCGATCAGGTCATCGTCAACGTTGGTCAGGTCACATTTTCGCAAGCTTCTAATAATTTTTTTCTCAATTTTTTCTTATATTTGTGTATTAAATGGTTTAATCTTATTATGATTGAAATTTGAGATAAATCCTTTGAGAAATAAAAAAGTTACTAGCATTTTCATTTGGTCCTGTCATTCTCGATATTGGTCCTGTCATTGTCAGCGAAGGTCAGGTCACGTTTTCGCAAGCTTTTGAAAAAAATATTAATTTCAAATTTTAGATAAATCCTTTGAAAAATAAAAAAAGTTATTAGCATTTTCAATTCGGTCCTGTCATTCGGTCCAGTCATTAGTGTAACCCCATAACAATGGCAAAATTCCACCAGCCAATAGTATGGATCCAACACAAATTGTAATACTGTGGATTTTTATTTTCATGGATACCAATGTTCGTGGATATTTGATTTCGTGGTTTAGCCAAAATATGCATTCAAACCTATTGTAAATTTGAACTTCATTGAACATTTGAATCCATGGTAAACCTTAACCCACAAAATCCACGAATATTGAATCCACAGTATATTCAGAAATAGATGTGAAAAATTATATTTCACCTCCTAAGGATAATAATTAAGGCTAAAAAAGTAATTTTCACACTAAAACAATTCATTTTTAAAATGACCATTTCACCTGCAAGAACTAACCTTTCAAAACCCCTGCTAAAGTGCATGCACTATTGATGATTGTTTATGTTATACAGTTGGCATATAAGGGATAAAGCTCATGTACTATTTGCATTTTTTTTAAATGTCATAATGTTGTTGTTGACAATTCTGTAACATTTAAAAACGTGTTTGACAAATGTTTTTTTGAGACAGTAAAACTGTTAATTTCTAATGATGAAATGCGTGTGTTGTCTTGTTGAAAACATTTATGTGACATTTCAGAATATCAGCTGCATCATCGTATGAAAATTTCAACAGGAGTTCAACTGGAATCCAGCTGGACTTGAGACGTATTCCAGTCTGACTTTGAAAAGTCCAGTCTGACATGAGCACTACACGTACTATTTCTTATACTTGGGTTATTTGCCAGCCGGTATTTTCTTAAAAGTCCAACCGCACTTTTTGTAATGCTGACAAGAAAATAAACACGACTGGACTTTTGAGGAAAATTATCCTCTTTGTAGAATGATAAGCAGGATTTTTGTCTTAGAAAATTTTACAGTCATTTATGAGCAGGAATTAAGACTTCGAAAATTTTCATCTGCCTCCTGCCCTTACAGAAATAAAAAGTTTGCCACAAATATTGCATATTTTGGCTTTAATATTGATTCACTTATAGGGTCTTTGCATCGGAATTAAACACATTTATTCTAAAACCAGTTGTTGGCATGACACGGGTTATGTTCTTCTCATATATTTTATGACGGTATAATACTAAACCCCTAACAGGAGGGATTGTGCCTGATATTCATATGATGAAGACATAATCTTTCAATCAGTTTAATTGAGGTCTGGAGCTGGCATGTCAGTAACTGCTAGTAGTCTGTTGTTATTTATGTATTATTATCATTTTGTTTATTTTCTTTTGTTTCCTATTCTGACATCGGACTCGGACTTCTCTTATACTGAGTTTTACTGTGCGTACTTTTGTGCGTTTGTTTTTTCTACATTGGTTAGAGGTATAGGGGGAGGGTAGAGATCTCAAAAAACATGTTTAACCCCACCGCATTTTTGCGCCTGTCCCAAGTCAGGAGCCTCTAGCCTTTGTTAGTCTTGTATCATTTTTAATTTTAGTTTCCTGTGTATAATTTGAAGTTTAGTATGACGTCCATTATCACTGAACTAGTATACATATTTGTTTAGGGGCCAGCTGAAGGACGCCTCCGGGTGCGGGAGTTTCTCGCTGCATTGAATACCCATTGGTGGCCTTCGGCTGTTGTCTGCTCTATGGTCGGGTTGTTGTCTCTTTGACACATTCCCCATTTCCATTCTCAATTTTATGTTTTTGAAAGAAACAATTCTTTCAAAATGTATAACAGTTATGAAAGTTTGCAAGTAATAATAATGATAAAATATTTTTTTGCAATATACTTTTAGTTCAAACTATAAGATGTGATACTTTCCCTAGATTTTCAATTCAATTATGGAATATTTAACATAGACTGTTGATGGAAAGTTGAAATTTAATTTTGGTGACTTTTGATTGAATTATATCCAAGTTAAAATGTTTACAACAATTATTTAACATTTTTACCTTTTTCATATAAAAAAACCACTAGCATCATCTGTTAAAGGTTAAATATATATATTTTCTAGTATATTTATATTTAATTAGATGAATGCATAAAATTAATAATTATCATTCATTCTTTAACATCAATTAGAAACTTGAGCCATAACAGTGATTTAATAGCAGTAGTCTTGTAGAAATGTGCCATCTGTTTTCAATTAACCTCAGTCTGGACAGGCCACAGGAAGTACTATCTCCACAGAGATTGAGGCCATATGTAGGAGAACACATGTCTAAATACATATTTCTGCAGTTACTATCACTTTTATTAAAGATATCATAATTAAACAATAATTGATTTTCTTTTTTTAAATATATCACATATTCAAAAGTAACGCACATGCAAGTAGTCATAAGAGGAACATTTAAAACAACTCCTTAAACAACCTCTTGTATTGCAATACAACAAAATTTGAATTTGGAATAAACAGGAAGATGTGTCTTCTTTCTTGAACAAAATGACAATTTTACATTGGATGTAAAGCAAATGTTTGGAAGTAGTTCGTTTCACATTAAATAGAGAAGATGGATCCTTCTGACTGGCATCAACGGCAATTTAGGAAGATTGCTGTTTGCATGTATTTTGGATTGCATATTCTGGTAAGTAAAATAAATTGAATTCCACCATTTTGGTGAAATGATCTGATATGCTCTTTTTATTCAACATATTAATAAAATAATTACAATATCATAAATAGCTTAATTCTTATTTTTGAAGAGTAAAAAGAATAAAAAAGCTACATTAAATATTTATTCATGCAATAATTTTCATCTTGTCTGTTTTGTCACAGTCACTTCCTGCTTTGAATTGTTAAATAAAAAAATGTATTGTGTTATATTGTCTATGCCCTCTGTATTAAGGAATGGTTATTATTTGAGTTGTTTTGAAATTTTTTGATTTCTACAGTTTAAGTGATTTTCAAAGCTAACTTTATTTTAATTTTATGCAATTTAAAATTATTTAGGCTAACCACAAATTTTTAGTAGTTAGCATTTAGCTTCTCAATTCCCAATCTCTTGGTTTTGCCAGCATGTCAGTACAAAAAAAAAAGAAATAACCAGTATATATGCATAATGCCATCTGTTTTCTTTTATTTTCAGGTTATAGCAAGGGATGCATGATGCAAATTAAATCAGAAGAATAAACCATCTGAAGAAAAACTGAGATCATCTTTAAAAGTCAAACCGCACTTTTTGAAGTCCAGCTGGACTTTATAGAGTTCTGCTGGACTTCTTAAAGTTCAGCTGCTGAACTTTATATAGAGTCCATATTTTTGCCAGAAATGCCAGCTGGATTTTTTTCAGACGTACTTTTATTAAAGTCCAGCTGGACTTTATGAACCGGACTCCTGCTAATTTAAATATTTCGAGCCAGTTTAAGGCTAATTTTGCTGAAAGTCCAGCCGAGTATTCATTATAAGCAATTCAAAGAAAAGTCCAAATGAATATTATAAGTAGGGTTTGTCAGTACGGCTACTGTCCGGCTGGAGTATGTGTCATATTTTTCATACGGGTGATGTGTTGTTTTCAGAATGTCAACTGAATGAAGTGTTTTCAGAATAAAAACTTGTTATTTTGTCTTGTGCACAAGCCAAATATGTTAAAACCAAATCATTTTTCAGGATACTATGTTTTCGTGATCACTCTTTCTAACCAACTTTGATCTGATTAGTTTTGGTGATTTTTAAACTGTTTCACAATTTGCTTGAAATACAGATTCTTTGTCCACTCTTCGATTACAAGGATCTGACAATGCTCAGTTCTACAATGTTCAGGTAATTATTACATCATCGAATTTCAGTATTCAAATTTTTGAAGGTGTGTATCATAAAGATGAAAACAGAGGATCCGGAAAGGTTTTTAAAACGGAAGTCTACACATAAGAGAAAATCCAAGTTATACATATTTATGACAATTTATCTTCCTGTAATTTTTCTACTTTTATATTCCTGTAAATTTTCTACTGGCAAAAAAATGCATAAATAAATAGCTGGCAAAAATTAGTTGGTTTACAAATTATCATATATCACTTAAAATAAGTTAATTATAAGCAGGATAATCTGAACTCCAAAGAAAGAAAAGTGAGTGAGATCAGGATTTTTGGAAGGGGTAGAACATCCTGAACTGTATAAATAAGAATGTGTCCATAGAACACAGATGCCCCACTCCCACTATCATTTTCTATGTTCAGTGGACTGTGAATTGGGGTCAAAACTCTAATTCAGCAATAAAATTAGAATGATCATACCATAGGGAACATGTGTAAGTTTCAAGTTGATTGGACTTCAACTTCATCTTAAACTACCTTGACCAAAAACTTAAACCTGAAGTGGGACAGACAGGCGGACGAATGGACACACAGACCAAAAAATATAATGCCCCTAGGTGTGGCATAAAAAAAACAACAGAAAGAAGCAAAGCAAGACAGCTTTATTATTACATTGACTTGAAGCCTTTTAAGCATTGGTCACAATACACTATAATCAATATTTTAGAGTTGCTATGGCAACTGTTTAGCCAAAAAATATCAAGCAGTAATACACCAATACATATATATCTACCAGTATATAATATTTACAACAAAATTTCAACAATTATGATATTATGATATTATTATTATTCATGATCAAGGATGAAGTGCAGTTACACTTGAGACACTCTTCAACTAAATAGAGGGGATGCTTCTATAAGTAGTTTAATGGTGATTTTATTTTGAAAATATATAACTTTTATCCCTTTTAGCCCTAACAATAATTATATAAAAAAAATATAAAACAGAAAATGTCAACCATTCTGATAAAAAAGAAAAGTTTTAAAAAAATATTGCCTGTCTTCCCCATTACAAAACAATATGGCTGAAATATAGGGACTTTTTTGTATAAATTATGTAAAAGTTTGGAGGTTGTCTTAAATAAACAATATTGAGATAATTAATTCATAATGAATGAAATTGCTGTTTGATTATCTCCCCTTTCCTGCAAAGAGAATGAAAAAACATGATGAAAAAATATAGACAATTATGCATGATGAAAATTACAATTAATATCTCAAAAAAAAAAATGAATAAAGGATATGTAGATCATCAATGATACAGCAACCCAACAACATAAAATAAAACCCAAAGACATCTTTTTAAATATGTTTCTATTACAGACTCATATTTCAAAAGTATATTTAATTATACTCTTCCTTTCACAAAAAGTTTTGTTGGTACTGTTTTTTTAGATTTTTAGGAAAAATTTGTTGAAATGAAAACTTAAAGAGAATTAGTCTTTTTCAGAAACTAATTGGTATGTAAGAAGAAAATTTATCTATTCTAATTTTTAATTTTCTACTTGCATGTGAGTAATGATGAAAATGATGAATTAATTAAAAATAAGATTTCATACCCTTAAGCTGCAGCAAATGCCCAAATAATGTATATCTTATATCTATATAGTAACTCATTATTCTACAGCTAATAATATTAAAGATGCTTGAATATTCAAATTAACAGTTACTCATTTCAAAATTATAAGAAACCTACTTAAAAAACACCATATTTCCTAGCCCAGGCCTTGTGGTCATAAAAATTTTGAGCTAGATATTCATACTCAAACTCAGAAATCAATCAATTAAAATACTTGATTTGGTGTTTCGAGCACACGTTTTGTACACCTCGAGCATGATCGAGAGCCCAGAGGACAGAGGCAACCATAATTTCATAAATCGAGAGAGGCTTCCTTTAGGCATCTTTATAACAATCGTTTTTAATATTTTTTTTGTTTTTTTTTTAGAATTCACCAACTTTCCTGATTTTATTATCTGACATTATGCTAAAAATGTTTTTAAAAAGTCAGACACAATTGCAAACTGCCAAACACTTTCAAAAATAATATAATATCAAATCAAAACAAATCATCCAAAATGCAGAACTTATTGGCATATTCAGCAATCTTATCCTCGGAATTATCTAATTGTGGCTCAATTTTACATGAGTAAAAAAAGTTCAAAAAAAAAGTTTATTAAAATAAAGTGTAATTGCTCTGAAAAGAAAAAAAATACAAAGTTATTTTTTTCTATCTATATGTTCTATTTTTTTGTACATTTGTGACCCCAACAATGCAAAATTACACACATATATATATATATATATACACAAGACAATGAATAAACTTATAAAAAGTTTTGATTTCATAAATGCACCAATTTAAGTTTTTAACAAAAGCGAACAACCTAAACAATGAAATGCGAGTAATAAAAGTACTGAAAAGTTATATAATGATAGCACCATCTAGAATGTTGCATTATGGATAAACAAATACATGACATTATTATTAAATAATGCAATCATCACATCAATTATAGCACTACAAATAAAATTCTGGATTTTTTTCTGTATAAATATTTTTTTTTATTAATTACTACCAATCAAATTTCATTTTTTGTTAGTAATTAAAATGTAAGCGGTGTATCTTATTGAATCAAATTTTAGTCTGCCAACTGTACTGATAAAAACTCTTTGAGTTGCTCTGAAAATTTATTGGAACACAGGCCACCAATAATAATCAGGGGGCATTTGTACCCCAAAATGAAATTTTATTCACATCATTGGCTGAATATCCATTGTTTAGGACGTTTTTGACCAATCACACCGTTTCTGGTACACTTTTTATAAAATTACCCAGAATGCATTAGATTCTGGACTGGTATATTACACTTAGTTTACCAATTGATGACTCTGCATTATCACTCAGCAAAGTACAAAAAACATTTACAATAATAACATTTAATACTGCTTCTAGTTTCTGTATTTGCATTTTGAAACAAGTCACAATTTGAAAATAACATTTGTTCTTTAAAAATTAAAGGATAAAAGTAGATCTTTATAAACTTACTTTCCCCTCTACAGAAATATAACTGTAATTGTTACTGTTAGTGCTACTTGTACATAATTTGATATATGAACTATAATTTGCTGTTTCAGAATGTAAAGGATCATGGATAATTTAATTATTCGTACCCCAATATGAAAACAATGTCATGTCATTGGTTGAATTTTCATTCTTTGGGACGTTGTATGCCAATCACAGTGTTTTGGTGTACGCTTTTGAAAACATTACCCAGAATGCATTAGATTCTGAAATGGCAAATTTGTAATACTATAATGAAAATGTTAAAAGTATATGGCTGTTGATTTTCTTTTAACTCTTTTAATCTTTTTTACATGAGGCAAAATCATGCGAGAAAGATAACATGTAAAAAATATGTTTTATTTAGTAAAGGTGACATTTAAAAAACCTTAAACATTTAGTAAAATCACAATTTAAATATGTATAATGCAGTTTATTTGGATACTGGATTTCATTCATAAATCTTTTGTACTGTTTTACTCTTAATTTTACAGGAAGGAAGACTGCACCATACAACTAACCTGTTTCAAAGAAGCCAAGCCCTGAAGGGACAACTTTTAATTTATTTGTATATCAAAATTTTGAGTATTCCTGATGAGGATTAACCCAGAAAAATATTTATGACGCACACAATTTATGAAGAGCTATTTTTATTTAGTAACTTAAAATTGGTATGTAACTGTACATAATCATTCTATAATAATTCCATATGAATTCCATTATAATTCCATAAGAATTCAATAAGAATTCCATTATAATTCCATAAGAATTCAATAAGAATTCCATTATAAGTCCATAAGAATTCCATAATTATTCCAAAATAATTCAATTATAATTCCATAATCATTCTTGTAATAGGTGCCTAAAAAAAAATAAGACTTGTGATGACATACAAATTCATAACGGAATGAATTATAATAAGAACACTCAGAAAAAATTCACAATTTGTCTCATAGACTATAAATTTATAGGCAAAATATTTACAGGATATATACATATATATCAACAGATCAAAACCATTTAGAAATTAAATGCCACATCTTAATAGTAAAAATTTGTAAAAAGAATTTACTTATTTAGTCTGCAATTTAATTAATCAATCAATTAACTGATTTTTTTCTTCTTCATTGTTATCTGCGCCATACATAGCGCAGAATGATAAAAGTCTTGCAACCAAGCATTAGCAGTATTTAACTTTTCTATCACCTTTTGACTGTGTAATTTTTTTCAGCAATGGTAAAGCTAGGTTATATCAAATGTGTATTCCAGACTAAATTCAAAGTGAAAAAATGCATTGATCTTGTACTTCACCCCTTTTTACAGGGACCCCTAAATGCTTTGATAAAATGTATACAATGCTTGTCACAATAAAATCATTTTCAACTAATTTTTTAGAGGATTTTTTTTAAAAACATTTATAACTGTACCATGTAGGCCTCTTGTTCTAAATGACTAAGAAGCAATAATCCGTCAAAACAGTGTAAATAGGTGACTTATGACGACAATGCTGTTCATATATTAACTTGAGAAAATTTCAATGGTATATAAATTACAAATTTACTTATCACCTAAAATGTTTGAGGAAAAAAGGTGTTAAAAGTAGATATGAACATGGTTCTTTAAAAGGTTGAGGAGCCAAGGTCATGGTACAAATATTAAAGACCAACCAGAGACTATAAAGGATTTCTTTTACAAGAAACTTTGCATACACTTGTTTTATAGTAAAACTTAGACTTTCAAGTATATAAAACATTTTTAACTTTTTTTTAAATTTTAAGTTTCATATCACTTTATAACATAAAAAAAGTTTTAAAAAAAACTTGAATGTAATACATCTTTTTTCACTCCCTCCATTTTCAAAACCTACTTGTTAATTCAATTTATATTTTATAAGTGGGAATGAACATATTTTTTATTCTGATAAAAGCTTACACATATTTAAAGAAGCCCCATGTGTTGCTTTCTTATCTATTAGAGATGTTAATTTATTCAGAAAATGGAAAATATTACAGTATAGAACCCAAGCTGTTTCCCGTGCACTTACAATGAACTCCCATTTTGTTTTACATATAACCTTTTCATTAAAATTATTGCACTTTTGATTTCATCTGAATATTAAACTGGTCCATGTTTGGGTACATTAGGGTTTTTTAAAAAACATCAAACAAAAATTGACAGAATAGACATATCAATTATGATAAAGTCCTACATAATGTAGTATTTATTAACCTGTAAATTATAAAATTAAATAAATGTTACTTTTATAAGATTATGTAATTTTTTATAGTACTTTTGACTTATTTTCCTCTAAAAACTTCTTTAAATCTGTAGTTTTGTATATTTAATGGGAAAAAAGTCCACATTTAAGTCAAACAGTCTTCTTGAAGAACCTGTTTAATAGGCGAAAATTACATTATCAGATGTGGATACAGGATTTTGAAAAAGAGGGGCCTGGAGCCCCCAAACTAGGCAATGTTTGGAATGGGACATGTAAAAAATCTGTGCATTAACCATATATGCAGGTCCATAAGTTTTCTTACTTTTTAACCCTTCATTCAGTACAGAACTTTTCAGGTAATATTATTTAAAACAGCATCAAAATAGAATAATATGATAAATAATCAATCATATTGAATGTATTTTGATAGATTTTAACTTGTTATTCACATGTACCGATGGTGGCATATGTTACAAAAATGTACCGGTAACCAGTTTTCATACGATATGAAAGTTTGTAACAGTACTTAGCGATGTGGCATTTATGATTTAGACAATAGAAAAAGACAACTAATAGAATTGTCAACCTACTGTAAATAAAAATTACATCTAATATAAACTTTATATAATCTGTAGTCAACAGGCATACGCATAAATATAAACATCGTTAAACAATTTATACAATATATTTAAGGACATCCATTCATAAATAAGTACTTTTCTCTTAATTTGAAATACCAGCAAAAAAAAAATCAAATGTATCTTATATATTTAAAAAAAAATGCTCCAAATTTAAATACATATATTTTTTTTAATTAAAATAACAAAAGGCAAAATTTTTATAAAATACTTATTAATTTTCATCAAGTTTCCTATTTTTATGATTAATTCAAACATTTCTGTTTTTCGAAGCATTAAACATTTATTCAATTTTTCCACAAGGCACAATTGAATTTGATTGTAAGAAAAAAGTATGCATTCATGAATAATACCAATTCTAATGAGCAAAATACATGTAAAAGAAGAAGATTACAATATCTATCTTTATAGTTATACATTCAAACACTACTACTAAAAATGTCTATCACAATAATATTATGCTAGTCTTGAGGCGCTAGCACTTCCCGTCGTTGTAAATGAAGGCATCTGCTGAGATGCATAATTTTTTATTGACTGCAGACTTAAAAGGCTGTTGGCCAGTAACTGGTTTTCATGTCGATTTATAGATGAATTGAAAGTTCTTTCTTGAGCATCAGGTTTACGGAAGCTAAAATGATCATACGGACCAATGTAACTCCGTGGGGTCATCGATGATATATGCGGTAACGATGGATTAGTGGATAGATGGTTGTTTCCATAAGGAAATGTGCCGCCAGATGAGCTGACCATATTACTAGGAAACTGGGGAATTGGCATAAAAGCTGAATTCATTTTCCCACAATGTGCTGATCCGTCTTGAGACCTATCTGGGATGCGTTCAGCGATTCGACAGAACTCAGCTTCTATGGAATGCTCCGAGGGCTCTGTTTTGATTGAGCGTGGGGGTCCCATTTTATTGTCTTGCGTATGTTTGCCCATATGCCTTGTAAGATAAGTTTCCTGTGTATAAGACTTTCCACACAGATGACAAATATGAGTTTTCAAATGTTTAGTTTCTGAATGTTTCGGGATATGTTCTCTCAAACCTTGCTCGCTGGTGAAACATTTGTAACAGCTGTTGCAGCGGAACGGTTTATCCGTCATGTGTGATCTTGAGTGCGACTGAAGATTGGACAACTGAGAGAAGGCTTTACCACAACCAGGACTCATACATTTATATGGTTTTTCACCGGTATGGGTTCTGATGTGTTGCTGTAGATGTGAGAGCTGGGTAAACTTTCGCTCACAGATATCACACTTGTATGGCCTGATGCCTGGAAAATAAACAAATATAGTAAACATTATAGTTCATTCAAATTATCATTAAATATCATAGTTATTGCATGCAAAGGTATTGAGATAATCCTTTGCTTCATTCTGAAAGCATCTGATTAATATTAGGATATGAACAACAGCCTAAATAGAAGATATTCCTTTTAAAAGATGATATCTTCCAAGAAGCCTAAATTGCCATATTTATAGCTATTTTTATATTGGTTGATACTCCTTAATATAGTTCACACTATAAAATTAAATTACACTTAGGATCATTCATATCGAGTTTTGTTTTAAATTGATTCAGAAGTTTCAGAGACTAGGTCAATCGGCGTAGTTGACGTTATTAAACAATCAACTCTTACTGTGATGTATTAACATAACCATTGTGACATGGGAAATGTTCAGGAAAATGCCACAATTGTTAAAGTCGTTAATTGCTGATAATTTTTGCTATAAATAAACTCATCATAGATAAAAGGATTGAAATTTTGTATGTCATATGTGCGTTTTGTATACATAAGACTCATCAGTGACGCTTGATTTTATCAGTTCATTTTTTTTAGATTATACATCTTCATTTAAGGGCAAAACCTCTCCTCATATAATTAATTAATCATGTTGGCATTTTTGTAGATATTGTATTGCTGATAGTTTTGCCGATTACTAAGTTTCTGTCTATCTATTAAGTTTTCATAAAAAAAGTTGAGAGACTAAGAAAATGGATGCCAAGTAATGATAATAGCTCATGGCTGTTTTGGCCAGGGGAAAAATAAAGCGTTAAGAATGGTATTTCTCCGTAAAATATTTTCTGGCTAATCATAGCATGTTTGTTACATAACTGAGACAAATGATGAGTGAATTACCAATTATGAACAGGTATATACCAGTAGTTGCAAACTATTAAACAAGAAAATAAAAAATAAATTGGTGTCCAAACCACAAGTTATGTGCAAATGTACTTATACTCAACCATGTCAATTTAAGATGGGTTCTAAAAACATGTTAAAAAAAATAACCCTCCCCCCCCCAAAAAAAAATAAATATATATATTTTTTTTTTAATTAGCCAGTTTATATGAATATACACATTGATTTGGTGCATTTGCTATTCCCTTTTTATATAAATCTATAATTTCTTGCATATTTATTTAAAGTTTTCAATTTTTTTTCAATAATACATATACTTTTAATTGCGTCTGATTTTTTAAAATTTTATTTGCAGCTGCTTTGTTTTTATATTGGTTATTAAATATTGTTGATCAATAAAATCTTTAAAATATTGATAAAAACAATTTGCTTGGGAGTGCATTAATAAAACTAATGAATGTCAAGGGCCAGTCCCTGTGTTCTTTTAGTTCCCAATTATGGTCTCGAAACAATTAAATAGTTTTGTTCATAAAGTATACACATACTGTTAACAAACAAGTTCATTGCTGTGAACAGTTTTGTCGTTAAACAAGTAAATATCAACATCCTGTTATCCTGTTAGCTACCACTTTGAGGTCTGGATCATTATAAGGGGACATTTAAGGGGGGGGGGGAGAGAATTTCTAGGAAATGACATTTTTGAATTGCATTTTTTTTTCAGCAACGTAAAAATGTGCCCCAAAAAAAATGTGGCTCGTTTATAGAAACTGAAAACAAATCTTTGAATATGTAGGTATTTGATTAAGTTAAAAATATTCTTATTTGTTTGTCTGTAAGGGCTGAAAATGGTAAATGATTCTGATTCTTTTGAATGGGTAATGAGTCAAGAAAAACAAATCAAATATGAAAAACATGAAACACTTTTTTAGTATAGAATTGGGAAAACAAATGTTCCAATCATATATTCTGAACAAGAACTGTCAGTATGACACAGATGTCCAAATTTTCAGCCTAGTATCATTAATTAAAAGTTTATAAAGTTCATGGATACATCAAGATGGGCTATATGGCAGATGTTACGCAGAAAAACATTGAAAAAAAATAAAGGACAATCTCCAAAGTTATTTGGAGTGATCTAAAGAGTTAGCTCAGTGCTCAACCTTGCAAAAAATGTCAAGGTCACAATTGAAGAAAAAAAACACACTTGACTTTAAGAAAAAAAAGATTGTCCCTGTTACAAGTCAGAAACCATGATCACTCGGTGCGCTACATTATTTTCTTCAATGCCTTTTTAAATTAAAGATCTGTGAACCTCTACCGATACTACAATAGGTGATTTACATATAACATGTAACTGCATTTTATGAAGTAACCCGTGCAACATTAAGAAGAACAAATTCTGTAAGAAAATTTAAGCAATAGAAAGCCCTTTGATGTTACATAACATATTCCAACATTATCAATATGGGATCAAATTAAATGTAATTTCAGAACAATTAAAAAAAATAATGGCGGCACCAGTAATGTATTTTTCTGAACATTTCCTTAATCATGCTACTAAAGCAAGCAAAAAACTATTAGAAGAAAATTTATCAAATTTCAAAAGAACAAACAGTAATTTTTATTTTTATAAATATGAAAAAAAAAATATAATCTTGAGCTGAATCATTTTCATATTGATATAAAATTCGAAAAAATCTTTTTCAAATTTCAAAAGAACAAACAGTCATTTTAACTTTTATAAATGTGTAAAAAGTTGAGCTGAATCATGTTCTAATTGATGCAAAAATTTTAAAGTTGAGCTGAGAATTTTCTTGCCTTGGAGCTCTGAATTATGAAAAAAATTGTAAGTTTTAGAAAAGGTATTCTAGACTAGCTAATGACATTTGCATTGAAGATTATGACTTTTGGTACATATAAATCGATATTATTATGTAATCTTAGCGTCTAAACATAACTCTTTTACACTAAGAATGAAAGGCAATTTTGCATATATAATATAAATCTATGTAGATTTGTTTTCTTTATTCAACTGTTAATAAATATTCCTACGTTAGTGCAAATGTTCTGCGATAGAATTAATATCAACCACACTTTCTAAATAATTATTTTAATAAATGAACAAACTGAACAGTTCAGAATAAAAACTATTGTATTTCATCAGGCTGTTTTCGATCAATATAAAAGTCTCTTGAAACATAAAAATAAAACCTTATTTGTTTTTTAAATATTTATTTTAATTTGAAGGATATACACATTGTATTTTGAAAGGAAATTTAGACTGCCACTGGAAAATGAGGGTTAATTGGATAGAGTCAGAAATTTAACCTTGCAATAGGCCACCTAGGGACCCCTCAGAGAGTTGTTGCAAGGGTTCTTAATCTGCAGAGATTGTGACACACTCTCTCTACACAACTACAAGACTACACGAGGCATCAGATTTAATATCCCCATTCTGACCCGACCTAGCTGCTAATGTATACATCCCGCACAACCAAACAGATGCCCACTGCTGGTCAGAAGAAGACCAATAGTGTGTCCATATTTCTATACCCCAGTAACTCTTGAGGTGTGAAAATAAATAATCCCATACAAAGCAAGATAATGAAGATCAGCATGGACAGATGGATGTATGATTAATGTCAAGTACAACTTGTTAATTATTATCGACCCTGCTTTAAACAAGATTGACATTCAGAGCCACAGATTTGACATTCAGAGCCACAGATTTGACATTCTGACTCCAAAGGAAAAAATATGCAGGAAAACATGTTTTCCAACCATTACATATCATTCTCCAAAACTGCCAGTGTCTGCACTTACTCCTATACACCATATGATGAAAAAGCAACACTATACCTGTTTTCAAGTCTTTGAGATTAACCTGACTTAGAATAGACTAATGACCTCTTGAACATAATTGATTGATTGATTGTTATATGTTTAGGGGTCATTCTACCATTTTTAAGGCCACCTTGGGAATTCACAGTCAAAGGAATGTCTCTTTTCATTTAAAAAAAGACTGACATGGTAAAAAGTTTTTTGTTTTTGTTTTAAAGGGTTGAACACAACTTTTTTTATGCTCGGACTATTACATGATGGTTACTTTTATTGGTCCAGGAGACTTGAAAGACAAAAATAACCACCAAGCAAAAGCAAGCATTTTACCAACTCTATTTCAGCTTTACATGTTAAATACAGTTTATCATGCGTTCTCACAATTTATTTGCCATTATTCTTTCCAAATTTGAAAGCTTTAAAAAAAACTAAAACTGAGATGTGCAGTGATGAGTGCTATCTAGTGGATTTATTTTTTCACATGATAGATGATGTCCTGTCACATGATAGATGATGTCCTATCACATGATAGATGAAGTTCTGTCACATGATAGATGATGTCCTGTCACATGATAGATGATGTCCTATCACATGATAGATGATGTCCTATCACATGATAGATGATGTCCTATCACATGAAATAACCTACCAGCATGTATCCTGTTATGTTGTGAGAGATATGAAGAATTAGCAAAACATTTCTGACACTGTGGACATCTGTATGGTTTGGTCTCTTGCCTGTGTAACTGTTGGCTGTGTATCAACATGTCTGACTTGGTATTAAATACCTGAAAACAGATCAACATTTGTTAAAAAATTTCTCAGAGGTGGATTTAGGGGGGACCCAGGGGGCCCTCCCCCTTTTGTGGGAAAAATTTGGTTGATTATATAGGGAATCACTGAAGCATGACTGGAGCTGGCCCCCTTTTAGGCAGTCAGTGGGCCCCTCTTTTGAAAATTTCTGGATCCCCCCACGGTTTCTATCTTTAAATGTCGCTGTTGAATGAGAATAAACATGTATGATATTGAGGAAACCTTGTGGATTCATTATTATTCCATGTGTACCAATTTTCATTGATTTCAAGGGTTTGGGAAACCACAAATTGAACTGTTAAGGGACATATAAATTTCTATAGGCTTGTATACAAATGTTTGCAAAACCACTAAATCAAATACCAGCATCATCAAAAATACATTCTTTCCTTTATTCAAGAAAATTGGAATCCACAAAAAAGATAAATGAATCCACAGTACCTGAAAATAGATCAACATTTGATAACATGTATCTGTAAACTGTGTATCAGTATGACTTACATTAAAATAAAATTAACAGATACACATTAAATTGATTGATTGATTATTGGAGTTCAATGCCACTTTTGCCACACTTGGCTAAAATGGTGACCAGTTTTTATTGCTGGAGGAAGCAAGTAACTTGAGAAAATCATAACCTTTAGCAGGAAAACTGGCAATCCTAGTCAATTGAGATCAGATTCAAACGCACCTTGCCAAGAGCATGGTTTGAACTAATAATCTCAGGGTTGTTAGTCTAGTGATCAGTGTAGAGAACTCCTTGGCCAACTCGGTCCTACAGGCCCCCTACCAACATCTAGTAGAATGTGTATCAGAACAAACAGTTCTAATGAATAGAATTTTCAATTATTCTGAAGTTATGCAACCTTAATTAATGAAATGTTTTTGAAATGGTCCTACAGCAGTTCCCTAAACAGAAATCCAATTGCTTTTTCCATGATACCTTTACAAGCAACTAGTTACAACAGCACTTTCAGTGATTGTTCATGACCCTGTTAAGATGCAGAAAAGCATTGAAAGCATTGTGTCATTGATATACTGGTTATGTTCTAGTCTTGGACCAAACAAGGGTGGGCCACACCCAGCCTGGGCCCCATTGAATCTAATAAAAAACAAAAAACCCAAAATCAAGAAAACAATTCAGAGCTTCCCCCTTCCCCTGCCACCAAAATCCTGGATCAGTCGCTACTACTAAAGGAATATTTGTCTTGTATACACATCACATCAATATTTCTTTTCTAATCTCTTAAAATTCACGTGACTGAGTATGCAGTTCAAGATTACTTATGGACTGTTCCCACTGTGGGTAATTATCACTTATGTATTTCTTGCAGCCCAGCCGAAGGTATTACATTATTTTTCTGTGCCAATTAGCACTTTAAAGGTTGTTGTTTTTTTAAATGAGAAAAAAACAAGTTTTTTGTTGATGTTGTAGATTGTCACAAAATTTCAGATGTACTTAAAAATCTTGCAGACGACACACAACAACTTATCATAAATTAGATTTGATGCAAACAGAAAAAAAATCTTTATTTTTTGAAAAGTGGTAAAAATCATTCTCTGAGGTAAAATGACTTTCAAACCCAATTCAAGTCTTTCCTTTTTAGTACATGATGTTTTATATTATCTGATAATAAACATCATTTACTAAAAAAAGTAATATCATTCCACAACTCATTGTTTCTTGGATATATTGGTTTATTTTCTAGTCAGGGGACAATCAAGGCTGGACACACGGAGCCTGGGCCACCTTGAATCTAAACAAAAAAGAACAAACCCAAAAATCAATTTTTAATACAAAAAAATAATAAATTTCAGAGCTCCATCCTCTCCCCTGCCACCAAAATCCTGAATCAGTCCCTAATACTATCTAAAGGAATATATGTCTTGTGTACACATCACAACAATATTTCTTTTCTAATCTCTTAAAATTCACGTGACTGAGTATGCAGTTCAAGATTACTTATAGACTGTTCCCACTGTGGGTAATTATCACTTATGTATTTCTTGCAGCCCAGCCAAAGGTATTACATTATTTTTCAGTGCCAATTAGCACTTTAAAGGTTGTTGTTTTTTTAAATGAGAAAAAAACAAGTTTTTTGTTGATGTTGTAGGTTGTCACAAAATTTCAGATGTACTTAAAAATCTTGCAGACGACACACAACAACTTATCATAAATTAGATTTGATGCAAACAGAAAAAAAATCTTTATTTTTTGAAAAGTTGTAGAAATCATTCTCTGAGGTAAAATGACTTTCAAGCCCAATTCAAGTCTTTCCTTTTAAGTACATGATGTTTTATATTATCTGATAATAAACATCATTTACTAAAAAACGTAATATCATTTCACAACTCATTGTGTCTTGGATATATTGGTTTATTTTCTAGTCAGGGGACAATCAAGGCTGGACACACGGAGCCTGGGCCACCTTGAATCTAAAAAAAAAAGAACAAACCCAAAAATCAATCTTTAATACAAAAAAATAATAAATTTCAGAGCTCCACCCTCTCCCCTGCCACCAAAATCCTGAATCAGTCCCTAATACTATCTAAAGAAATATTTGTCTTGTGTACAGATCACAAAAATATTTCTTTTCCAATCACTTAAAATATTCATGTGCCTGAGTATGCAGCCTATTGAGTTCAAGATTACTTATAGACTGTTCCCACTGTGGGTAATAATCATCTATGTGTTTCTTGCAGCCCAGTGGGAAGGTTGTACACTTTTTCCTGTGCCTATTAGCACTTTAAAGGTTGTTGTTTTTTTAAATGAGAAAAAAAGTTTTTTAAAAAACATGTAGATTGTCACAAAATTTCAGATGTACTTAAATCTTTCATACAGACACACACCAACTAAACATGATTTTGGTCTGATGTAAACAGAAAAAAATCTTTATTTTTTTTGAAAAGTGGTAGGAATCATTCTCTGAGGTAAAATGACTTTCAGGCTCAATTCATGTCTTTCCTTTTTAGTGCATGAAGTTTATTAATATCATTTCACAACTCATTTTTTTTTTCTTAGTTAAATTCAATTACGGAAGTTTGGGAGTCTTTTGCCATCTTGAATTGTATTGACCACAGAATGTTGAGTACAGATCTTTGTTAAAAATAGCAAAATTTTATTTTGAAAAGCGATTTATTTATAGGACTTTTCATTCTAATGCAGAATTTCATATGAACTTATCTCATGTCAACAGCTTCTTCAACAGTTAACCGATTGTTTTTTTTTAAATTTAATATATGAAATCATTGCATGATTATTAACGGAAGATAACTAAATCCAATAATTTAGTTTAAATCTACTGCAAATTAAACAATTTTGTTACGTGCTGAAGAAAACATTTAGTATTTCCTAAGAGATATCAACAATATTTTACTACAAAATTATATCATTCAGTTTTCTGATAGTCATATAACACTTTTTCCACTTACAATCCTTACAAAATATGAGACAACTAGTGATTTGAAAACAAGCATGAGACCTATACCTTTTATCATATTTAATGTTATGATATCAACATTAGCATAGAAGAACATTTTTGTTGTATTTCCATATTACCATAACTATTTGTCAGAATCCTAAGGTAAAAGAAAATAGTAAAATGCCTGACAAATATTGAATCAACATTTTTTTGTACTCTTGGCTATTTCATAGTGGCTAGTTTTTATTGATGGAGGAAGCCCAAGAACTTTGAGAGACCCTGCAACCTTTGTTAGGAAAACTGACAATCCTAGTCAATTAATATCAGAGTCAAATTAACCTTGTCACGTGCAAGATTTCATCACACAACCTTAGTGTTGACAGGCTTAAGTAATTATCACTGTAAATGAACTACTTAGACCACTTGGCCATCTCGGTCCTCAACTATAATGACAACCTGACGTGAATTTGTAACTAATGGAAGTTAGTCTGTTGTTTCTTTTTCCAATATATTTTCTTACTACCATAGTATTGTATGTTCTTCCTTGACAGGGGGCCTCGGTGGCTGATTGGTCTATGTAGTAGAACTAATGTATCACTAGCCTGTCAACACTGAGGTTGTGAGTTCAGATCCCGCATGCTGCAGGTGCACTTGACTCCAATCTTTATTGACAATGATTGTCAGTTTTCCTGCCAAAGGTCGTGGTTCTTTCCAGGCGCTCCATCTTCCTCCACCAATAAAAACTGACTGCCACAAAATAGCCCAATAGTGCTGAAAATGGCGTTAAACACCAATCAATCAATCAATTAATCAATCAATCATTCAATCTTCCTTGACTTTGCTATTTGATTGTCCCCTTTGTATCTTCTTATTATCTGGTACTCTTAGCTGGACCACTCCTTACTCCTATCCCTTAACTATAAATTCTTAATGGGAGTATCAGCAAATACCTATTTTATAGTCTTTTACATAACCTAGCTAGAGAACTACTTCTGCATCATGTGAAGTGGATACCAATAAACTACAGACACATGTAATACAGACATTTATCAAATATATATTCGTGCATTCAACATGGAATAGAAAAGAAAGCAAGCTGCACATTTCCACGTATTAATATAAGCCTCATCCAAATAAATTTTAAACTGTGAGACAATACATATATAAATATATACAACCCCTGTATTGTTTCAAAAACATCAACGATTATCACTTCCGTGCAATTCTCATAATGATTTTGCTTAAAAGAGAACTAGCCCATTTTTGAAAAGTATAGATCTCTATCTGATTTATAGCAATAAAATTTGAAAAGATTTTAATAAAAAAAAAAATCTTTAGATTTTGTACATAAATTCAAAGAATGCAAATGCAGGCATTATCATAAATCCTTCATAAAACCCACAATCTTTTTGTTCTCTCCCCTTTAAAAAAATGAACAAATCAAAACTAAAATGTATACATTCTCCAAAAGTGGAATTTCCCATGATTTGAAATTCTCATTAATTTAAAAACACAAGTCTCTAATTTGAGTGATCATAGTGAGCATTGCATAACATCATAGTGTTACATAATATTGGATTTGTCAATCAATAGCATGGCTACGAATAACGAATAACGTACAACGTAGTTGTACATCGTATCCATAGAAAACTTTAAGTACATGTATTGCCTAAATGTAGCCAAATTTATAATCAAAAGTGGGGAAATTTAATAAATGCTAGTACATAAATTTTATCTGTCTTCATTACTTAAATATTCATACATAGTCTAGATCGCTTGACCTGGTACAGGTGCAAAAGTTAGTGAAGTTAAACCAGTTTTACTTGCACACAAACTCCGCCCTTAACCTATCTAAAACATATGTCTTAAAAGTCAAACACTTACAAAAATGGCTTCAAAGGGGTCATATTTGTTTATCTATAGTTTCACTTTTGATTCCGATTCATTTGTTCACCAATGTAAGTCAGTTCATAAAATGTCCAAAACTATTCGCCTAAACATGCACTTTTTTACCAACTTCAACTATTTCTTACAATCATATGAAATTTTATAAATGCATTAACATAAATGAATTTTGCGATTGACATAAAGTATCTGTCAAGCAAAACTGATCTATTTCACTGGGAAATTCACAAAGAAATCTGTTGACAAGGAGACACTTTGACAAGCGGGAGTTAGTTAATAAATTTCAGAAACCTTCCTGAAAATGCTTAACTATAACCATGGCTTAAGTGACACATATTTCTATACATAATATATTTTTATCATTAATTCCAACATGAATCTGACATATAGTTTTTTTTAAATATTGGTCTCCATTTTTTATTTCTGAGTCAAACTGTGTGTAACTGTACAGAGACAATTGTCAAAATGAATTCCTTTAAGATATCCATTGATTAAAAACATGACATCGTGTCAGTAACCTTACGGAAATATTGAATAATACCAATAATGCAATGGAATTGTTTTGTTAAATCCAGGAAGTAAAATAAAACAACAACAACCTTCCCATTGGCACAAGGTAAACAACTGATTAATTGATTGTTGGTGTTTAACACCACTTTCGTCACTCTTAGCAAAAGAAGCAAAACTTTTCGGAATTTTGGGTCCTCAATAGAGAAATCGAGCATCACTGATGAGTTTTTTGTAGATGAAATGCACGTCTGGCGTACAAAATTTGAATCCAGGTTTCTATGAGGAGTTTGGTTTTATTAGCTATACTGTGGTGACTTGTTATTTTGGTGGAGGAAGCTGAAGTGCCTGGAAAGAACCACCACCTTCGGCAGAAAAACTGCCAATCCTAGTCAATTAAGATTTGAGTCGAAGGCACCTGCATCTTCCCGGGTTTTAAATCACAAACTCAGTGTTGACAGTCTAGTGATAATTGTAGATAAATATCTTGACCACCTGGTCACCATGGCCCCACACAAGTATACCAGAACTTTGTAAAGATTTGTATTTCCAGATAGTAAACACTTAATAAAAACATCAACAATGCAAGTGATGAATGATAAAATTATTGTTTTGAGAAATTGCATAGTCTTATTGGAAAGATACATTTGAGGAAGAAAAAGGAATCAGATGCTTTTATTGCCGTACTTCATATTAACAGTTGCTGTAAGATCATCAGCAATGAAATAGCAAGATAATAGCAACATCAAAAAGATCCTTTGTATGAGCTAGTGTCTTGATGGGGGTCCTTCATTTCTGTATTCTTTAATATTTTGGATCATTTTTCTCTATTCTTTATTTATTTTGTCCCTTATTCTCTTTTCATTATATTTATTACTCCATTACTCTTCTATTCATTAATTTTTTAGCCTATTTTTCTCTTTTTTTGGGCCAATTTATCTGTACTCTTGTCCCATTATTCTCTTTTCTGTAAACCCATCCAGACCCTCTTGCATCATTTCTTTTAAAAGCAGTGTTCTTTGATATTTGACATTTGTTTGATCAGGCTAAATGCAATTCTGATATAGGATCAACACATGCCTGGGGCAATACTTTGACCTTCAAAGAGAGGCTGAAAAGCCAGTAGACCAGAGAACACAGAAAAATCTCTTAAATCAAAAAAGCTTGAAATCATCAAAAACATTCTGATTCAATCAAAATAACATTTTTTTTTTTATTCCATAACCAATTATTGTAGGACTTTTCTACCACAAGGGAGAGTTTTTGGAAGGGAGATAACTTATTGTGCCAATCATTCAGCCTGATATAAATTACAGATCGAGTGCACCTTGACTCCTATCAACTTATATAAGTTACAGATAGAATGCACCTTGCCTATTTCCAACCTTGTATAAATGACAGATTAAGTGCAAATTTTAATTTATTACAAATGACTTACAACAAGTATCAATCCCCAATAGTACCCCTGATATGCTAGAGTGATGTTTAGGTAGTTTTGCACATTGGTACATGTATTGTAAAATATCAGCCCAAAATCAGCAAGTGAAGTTAATTAGCCAAAAAGCTTTTCACAGTGTTGAACAGCTGGTATTTTTTAACATTTATTGACAGAAAACTGAATAATTTGTTAAACATACAGTAAAACCTGTATAAACCAGCCGGCTATGGGACTAAGAAAATGGGCCGGTTTGGACAGTGGGTCGGTTTATTCAGGTTTTCTGATTTACCGGAAGTGGAGGCATGTACGTCGGATTTTTATAATGCAATGTTCTCTACTACATCAGTAACTGAATCAGAATGCAATGTTGCATTGTCAAGGAACAATAATATTTTACTCTTTTTAGATTTCATTTTCTTATTAATCTGCTGTATCCATTCGGTAAAGATGTAAGTTGTCATCCACGCTTTTTTACTGGATTGCCAAATGACAGGCAAATTGTTAACGTTAATGTTTTTAAAACATCTGGGTTTCTTTGCCTTGCCAATCACTAACGGCGGTAACTTTTCTCCTGTGCTACTGCATGCTAGCATCACTGTTATTCTTTCCTTAGCTAATTTTCCACCTTTGCATGCTTCCCCTTTTTGGCCAAGTGTTTTGTCCGGTAATGCCTTAAAGAATAAACACGTTTCATCTGCATTAAACACATTTTCAGGTGTGTAATCCCCGACAATATTTTCCAGTTTAGATTTAAAATCGTCCACTACACTTTGATCGACATCGGCACTTTCACCGCAAACTTTAAAAAAGCCAATCGAAAATTTTGACCGCCAGCTTTCTAACCACCCATTTGATGCCTTAAAATCAGTTAAATCCAGGGTTTCTGCCAATTCTAATGCCTTTTCCTGAATAATTGGCCCACTTAACGGAATGTTTTTTGCTCTGGCTTGGTTGAACCACTGAAACACTAAGTCATTTAGCTCTCCGTATTTACTTCCAGTATCATGTCGTTTTCTTGCAGATGTTGTTTTGTCCTCGTAAATCGTTTTATATTCACCACTTCTCTTTAAAATGTCTGAAACAGTTGTTTTGCCAATCCCAAACTGTAATGCAAGATCTTTTTGCGTTGGCTTAGGTGTTTTTTCATATTCCGTTATAAGATCGTACTTTAGTTTCAATGTAAGTTCTTTGCGAGACCTTTTCGGCGACGGTGTATTAAGATTGTTATCAAAATCTTTTTTTCTCTTTTTAGGCGTACATAAAGTCTCCATTCTTGTTTGAACTAAATATTTTAATGACCGCTTAATATTGTTTATAAAAACAGTTCACTACAATAAGTTCACGGTTCAACGCCTCACTAGTTTAATACCCGTAAGGACCCTCTTGTGTAAACAAATTCGTGTTGATTGACATCGATCAATACTTTATCATGATGTACAGTTAAATAAATTAAACAGACCGGTTTTGACAGGTATTTAATAATGCAATTAAGTGTAATGGGACTTGCTAATGAGATCGGAATTCGGAATACACAGGGTCCGGTTTATAGAGGGTATTTTTGCAAAGGTTATGAAGGGAAAATATTGGGACTTTAATTTTTGACCGGAATAGACAGGAATCCGGTTTATTCAGGGTCCGGTTTACCCAGGTTTGACTGTACTATAATTGACTGGTAAATTTTTTGGCCTCCCTTAAGCAATTTTTACTTGATTTTCCGACTGGATAAGTTCTGCTCTCACATGGTGACATCATTGATAATTTCTGCTCTTATGTCACAAATCTGTGATTAAAAAATCACGGAAAAACTGAGCAGTAGGATTATGATAAATGTAGACCATCTTATTCAACACGACTTGACCACTGAAGCCCTAATGGAAAGACCAATAAAGAGTTAATAATCAATCATCACCGAATGTATTCATTTCAGAATTTGTCAAGGTGGAATAAACTGTAAGTGTTTTACGGTACCTACTGCCAACTGAAATTTTAAAACAAACAATCATTCCATCAACTCCTCTTCCTATAATATTATTTTCCACATTAAAATTGAAATCATGAAACAGGTCTTTATCATTAAGGATACCATGAAATCATAATTACCTGGTCGCACATTTTACACTGATAAGTTTTGCCAGGTTTATGGTTGATATTATTGGGTTTCACTGGCTGTGGTACAACTAATGGTGTATTAGTTGGTGTAGACGGACTGCTAAGGCTTCCAGAGTTGCTACGGAAACTGCCTGTGCTACCAGTACTCCCATGACGTAAAACTCCAGGTGGTTCATGATTCGTCATTTCGGAATTGATATTTCCTATAAAGAGAGAAAACAAGTAAAGTATTAAATGCAATGCTGAAGCGCTTTTTGATTAAATCTAATTTTATTGTAAAAACTGAGTTGATAAAGCCAAAGTATGGTTACAAACAAAGTACACTGGGCCAAAATAAAAGAAGAATGTGTCTGAGGACTAAAATGCCCTGCTCAAGCTTTGCAACGAAAATTGGACCGACAAACAGAAAGATGGAAGGACAGAAAGACAGACGGTCAAGGGTAACACTTAATTCCTCTGTCGCCTACAGCAGGGGCATAAAAATATGGTGTATCATCCATTACATACCCACTCTGTTGCAGATAAGACTAAGGTCAGTTTGTAGGTAAAATAATTTTATTTTCAAAAATGTTTTACATAGATAATATAGGAAAACATTCTATACTTAAACGGCGCTTAACCACAAATGTCTGCCCTACAACAGTGCTTAACCAAAAAAGCCATTTATGTTCAATCTTGCACTACTAAAATACCTACAGTGGGTAAATATTGTATTCTACAGGATTAAAACAGTAGAAACTGTTTCTCTAATGATTAAATGGAAATCACCAGTGTTCAATTTTCAAATGACCATGGCAGAAATTCCCACCTGACAAATGTAATTAACATGTGGTTCATCAAAAATATATTAAACTGGTCATAGTCGGTTGAAAAGCAGAGAGAATTAGAGAAAATAGCTCTTATCTTATAACAGGATCAAGCTCAGAGAGGTGTACACTTAATGGTAATCAACTGCTCATAAATCTGGTGAAGTCTTATTAGAATGTATATCATTCATTGCATGGCAACAATTTATATTATTCATTGCATGGCAAGAATTTGTATCATTCATTGCATGGCAAGAATTTGTATCATTCACTGCATGGCAAGAATTTGTATCATTCATTGCATGGCATGAAAAATCACAAAAATACTGAACTCCAAGGAAAATTTAAAAAGGAAAGTCCCTAATCAAATGGCAAAATCAAAAGCTCAAACACATCAAACAAATGAATAACAACTGTCATATTCCTGACTTGGTACAGGCATTTTCTTATGTAGAAAATGGTGGATTGATATTATATCATATTTAATATTTTATATCATTATTGTATAATTTGTATAATTTATATCATTTATTGCATGGCAAGAATTTGTATCATTCATTGCATGGCAAGAATTTATATCATTCATTGCTTGGCAAGAATTTGTATCATTCATTGCATGGCATGAATTTGTATCATTCATTGCATGGCAAGAATTTGTCCCATTCATTGCATGGCAAGAATTCATATCATTTATTGCATGGTAAGAATGTGTATCACTCATTGCATGGCAAGAATTTATATCATTCATTGCATGACAAGAATTTGTATCATTCATTGCATGGCAAGTATTTATATCATTCATTGCATGGCAAGTATTTATAATCATAACAATAAGAGGACAGATATCAACAAGAATTTTGGAGGAAAACTGGACCAAGTAAAGTGTTGACCATATCTATTATCCAAAAGGTGTACTATGATGTACTTCATTCCATGTTTTACAAATACTATATGCTTCCAAGACAATCAATTGTCTTCAAAGAAGATTATATGTGAGTAACTAATCCCTTTGATATAATACTAGGTAACAAGCAAGATTGATTGATTGTTGGTTGCTTAACGTCCAGTGGCAAATATTTCATGCATATTCAGGACGAGAACAAGTTCACAAAAAATACAATAGGTAGGTTCTGTAATAGATTAAGGGATTAGGGTCGGAGAAATTTAGACTGCCACGGGAAATGAGGGTATATTGGATAGGGACAGAAATTTAGCCTTGCAACAGGTCACCTACGGACCCCTCAAAGAGTTGTTGCAAGGGTTCTTAACGTGCAAAGAGCGTGGCACTCTCTTTACAGGAGGTATCGAATTTAACGTCCCCATTCTGACCGGACGTGGCTGCAAATTTATACATCCCGCACAGCCAAACGGACGCCCCACTTTAGCACGGGTTTTACTGCCGGTCGGAGGAAGACCAATGGTGACCATACTTCTATTCCCCAGTCACCCTTGGGGGGCTAACAAGCAAGATGTCCTTTTTTTCTAATAACCCCCAGTAATTTACAACCAATACTATATGTATATGTTTACCAATTCTATTTCAATTTATCTCAGTCCTTGTAGATGAAACTGCCCCTGTAACAATTTAAAGTTTGACTTTTTCATATTTTCATAATTATTTTTAGTGCAAGTTGGGTGGTTGCATTAAATTAATGGCTTATTCATTCTTACAGGAATACTGTGAGATTCGTTCTTACAGGAATACTGTGAGGCCTATTCATTCTTACAGGAGTACTGTGGGAACTATTCATTCTTACAGGAATACTGTGAGAACTATTCATTCTTACAGGAATACTGTGAGGCCTATTCATTCTTACAGGAATACTGTGAAGCCTATTCATTCTTGCAGAAGTACTTTGAGAACTATTCATTCTTACAGGAATACTGTGAGTCCTATTCATTCTTACAGGAATACTGTGAGTTCTATTCATTCTTACAGGAATACTGTGAGGCCTATCTATTCTTACAGGAATACTGTGAGGCCTATTCATTCTTACAGGAATACTGGACTCCACATGAATATAATTAATATCAAACTAATGTATTCTTATAAATAAAATATTTGAAGGAATCAATGCTTAAGATTTAAAACAAACTTATTCTTTAAATGCATGTGCATTTGTTAAATATGGGAAAGAAAAAAATCAATAATTTTAAGACAGATGTTACAATTCATTTACATTTCTGTCATAAAAACAACATATTGTGATAAGTAATCAAAAATTCATTTTTCATGTTTTTGCTGCACATAATACTTATCTTAAAATAAAAAAGACTTAAAAATCATATATTCTCCATTAAACATACACAATTAAGCCTTTTTATTGATATTCATAGAACAAAATCCATTTAATACATATAAATTGAGCAATAAAGCCATAATACATGATTTTAATATCTTTTTTTAACATTTTTTTTGGGTTTAATTTCTTACTTTTAATTTTAATGTGTTTCAAAACTTTAAATGAAATTGTGAAACTCCTCAACATTAAAATTGAAATATAGATTAAACTCTTAGTTTTTTATATTTTTATCTCAACTTTTGTATAGAGTGTGTGTGAAAGTGGTAATAATGCATTTTTCCAATTTACATTGTTCTAAGGCAGGATTAAGGCAGTCAAGCTAGGGTGTACCTAGTCAGGATTAAGACAGTTAAACTGTCAAGCTAGGTTGTACCTAGTCAGGATTAAGACAGTTAAACTGTCAAGCTAGTTTGTACCTAGTCAGGATTAGTACAGTCAATAGATTAGATTATACCTAATCAGGATTAAGACAGTTAAACTAGCTTGTACCTATTCAGGATTAAGACAGTCACGCTAGCTTGTACCATAAGTCAAGATTAAGACAGTCAAGCTAGCTTGTACCATAAGTCAAGATTAAGACAGTCAAGCTAGCTTGTAACTAGTCAGGATTAAGACAGTTAAGCTAGGTTGTACCTTAAGTCAGGATTAAGACAGTTAAGCTAGGTTGTACCTTAAGTCAAGATTAAGACAGTCAAGCTAGGTTGTACCTTTAGTCAAGATTGAGACAGTCAAACTAGGTTGTACATATTCAGGATTAAGACAATTTAACTAGCTTATACGTACCTCAAGTTAGGATTAAGATAATTTAACTAGCTTGTACCTGGTTAAGACTACCAGCAAGACAGTCAATCTAGTTTGTACCTAGGCTAAGAGACAATATCCAAGGATTCTAGAGAGGATCATCAGATATTTCATCACAAAACTAGTCAGTTTATATGGTCACTGATTTTAGAATATACCTTGAAGTTCATATATAAACAAGAAATGATTGTAACAGGATGCTGTTACGAAGTCTCCCAAACGAAGCTCCCATAATTCGTAATTCCCAGTGTCGCCTGACATTGGACAAAGTCCAGTGAAAATTGGTTTGGTCCAGTAAAGTTAATGCATTAGTGATGCCTGGGGACTAACCCTGTATATCATTCAAATCATCTTGGCATGACAAACCAGAATATGTATGGTTTAGGGGTGGGGATCTCGACCATTTACAAGATACTAGAACATTGGTGGTGGGGGGAACCCCTGGAGACTGACCCTATACATCATTCAAATGTTTGAGAAACGACGAACAGGAATATATATGGTCTAGGGGTGGGGATCTCGACCATTTACAAGATATTAGAACATTGGGGGTTGGTGGAACCCAGTGGGGACTGACCGTATACGTCATTCAAATGTTCGAGACATGATGAACAGGAATATATATGGTTTAGGGGTGGGGATCTCGACCATTTACAAGATATTAGAACTTTCTCAAATGGAAGGAGGTCGGGATGACCCCTGGGGACTAACCCTGTATATCATTCAAACCATCTTGGTATGACAAACCAGAATATATATGGTTTAGGGGTGGGGATCTTGACCACTTACAAGATATTAGAACTTTCTTAAATAGCAGGGGGTGGGGGTGACCCCTGGGGACTAACCCTGTATATCATTCAAACCATCTTGGTATGACAAACCAGAATATATATGGTTTAGGGGTGGGGATCTTGACCACTTACAAGATATTAGAACTTTCTTAAATAGAAGGGGCTGGGGGTGACCCCTGGGACTAACCCTGTATATCATTCAAACCATCTTCGCATGACAAACCAGAATATATATGGTTTAGGGATGGGGATCTTGACCACTTACAAGAAATTAGAACTTTCTTAAATGGCAGGGGGTGGGGTGACCCCTGGGGACTAACCCTGTATTTCATTTGATGTGCTTTATCATGACAAACCAGAATATATATGGTTTAGGGGTGGGGATCTCGACCATTTACAAGATATTAGAACTTTCTCAAATGGCAGGGGGTCGGGATGACCCCTGGGGACTAACCCTGTATATCATTCAAACCATCATAGCATGACAAACCAGAATATATAT